GGCCCAGCCTCGCCAGCCGGGCGCGGCGGGGCGTGTCGGTATCACTGGATGTCAAGCAGTAATAAATTAAACCAACCGCACCGTCGTCTGCTCGCTTTCCTGCCTCCCGTGGTCAGAACCCACCCGGCCCGTGTCACAGGGGAGGACGCTGAGGCCCTGCAGAGCGAGGACCAGCTCGAGCCGGGCCTTGTTTCGCAGGGCGTGGGCAGCCCAGTGCCCTCCCTGCCCGCAGCCAGGGCTGGACGGGGCGACCATCACAGAATCAGCCCACCTGGAACAGGCACTGCCAGGACGCGGCAGGCATGGGGCCAGCGGGGGTCAGGGGACAGGGAGGCCCCCATGTGCACAGTGAACTCGGGTCCTTGTTAAGATGCGGTGCAGCCCCAGCTCCAGCCTGCCCCGGGTGCGCACAGCCAGCTGCTCAGAGATTCCAAGATGCAAACCCGGTTTTGTTTTGGTTTTTTTTTTTTTTTTTTTGGAGAGATTTTCACTGTAGGGCGCGTGCGCTCGCCAGACAGACAGACAGAGACACAGAGACAGAAAGCGAGAAATCACCCCCCAGGGAGGATGGTCACGCCGCAATCCCTTCTCCTCCATTCTCCTCTGGGGATCTTGGGCATGCACGCACACGGGCCCGGCGTGAGTTTTAAGCCACCGGGTCCAGGACACGAACCGCGGTCGACTACGTGGGAGTCCAGCAACATAGCCATTACGCTAACTGCTGGTTCCAAAACCCAGTTTTTTTTTGTTTGGTTTTTGTTATAGAGCACATGTGCTTGCCAAAAAGAGACAGAAAGCGAGAAGTCACCCTCCAAGGGGGATGGCCACACCGCAATCCCTTCTCCCCCATTCTCCTCTCGGGACCTTGGGCACACATGCACACGCGCCCGGCGTGAGTTTATGCCACCGGGTCCAGGACACGAACCGCAGTCAACTACATGGAAGTCCGGCGACATAGCCATTTGGTCCTAACGAACCCCAGATCTTGCTGTGGGGTCAGCCTTACAGAGCGTCACCGTGCAGCCCCACTGCAGAGGACCGGCCAGAACCTCACTCCATCGCTTTACTCCTGGGGGGTTTTGCTACCGTGAGCCCAGACAGTCCTGGCCCCATGATGTCCCGCCGGACCGCCCCGCCTCCATCTGGCGTTGATGGTCTGCCCTTTCCACTCCACAGTCGGGGCCACCCCTGAGGCTCTGTCCTGCGTGCCATCCTGTACTCCAGTCTCTGGGTCTTGCTGAGTCTCCCCGTCTCCCTCCCCAGGGAGGACACCCAACCCTGCCTCTCCCATTGCATCCCACTTTTAGGGGTACGTTTCAGCCTCTACACCTAGTTTTGAATTTGAAATGACGTGGTATCCCCAACGGTGGCTTAAAACATGTTCACTCTTATTTGGGGTTTTTTCCCAAGAGATTTTTGACTATACGGTGCGTGCACTCACCAGAGAGACAGAGACAGACAAACAGAAAGCAGACAATCACCCCCAAAAGGGATGGCCACACCGTAATCCTTTCTCTTCCATTCTCTCGGGATCTTGGGTACGCACGCACACACACCTGGCATGAGTTTCAGACTGCCAGGTTCAGGACTCGAACCGCAATTGACTACATGGGGGTCCAGTGACATAACCATTATGCCATCTGCTGGTCTTATGACTTAAAACGACCATCAGTTTGGAGGACCAGCAGGTGGCGTGGTTGTTAAGGCTTTGGACACTCCCACATGGCCGACCATGGTTCAAGTCCTGACCTTGTGGCTTGCTTTCTCACTGCCCCTCTCGTGCTTTCTTTCTGTGTGTCTGGTCAAATTAAAATAAATGAATGAATAAATACGATTTGAACAAAATGATCAGGAAATTTGCCAGAACACCATCAGACACATTCAAAACACACATAGAGCTGGCGGTGTGGTCACTGAGGCACGGGACTCCCACACGGCTGACAGTGCTTCCCACCCTGAACCGGTGGCTTGAAATCGCTGCAGGCAGGACCAGCAGTTGCCAGAATGGCTATGTCACTGGACTCCCTCATAGTCAACTGCAGTTCAAGTCCTGGACCCGACGGCTTGAAATTCATGCCGGGCGCATGTGCGTGCGTGCCCAAGATCCCGAGAGGAGAATGGAGGAGAAGGGATTGCGGTGTGGCCATCCCCCCTGGGGGGTGATTTCTCGCTTTCTGTCTCTCTCTTTCTGTCTCTCTGTCTCTGGTGAGTGCACACGCCCTATAGTAAAAGTCTTTCTTTAAAAAAAAAAAAAAAAAGGAAAATCACTGCAAACTCGTATGCGTGGATAAGCATAGAAGGGAGAAGGGATTGCAGCGTAGCCATCCCCCTGGAGGGGGGTGATTTCTCTCTCTCTTTCTCTGTCTCTTCTGGTCAGTACAGTACACTTGCCCTGTGCAGAAACCTAAACAAGCGCACACAGTGGATTCCCGCCTGACTCGAGTCAGAAGTCCTTGGTGGAAGGGCGTGACGCTGGATACTCACGCAGGTGCATCTGGCGTGTGATTTTCAAGCTACTGGATCCCAGACTCGAACCACATGAGTTTATGCCACCGGGATAAACCGGCCATGTTGGAGCCAGCGATCTTCACCAGCGCGCCTCCAGCAGGCCCCAAAGACTCATAGTAAACCTTAAGTTTCTTCTGTTCGAGGGTCGTGGTAAAGGTGCAGGACACTCCCACGTGGCCCGACCACAGTTCGAGTCCTGAACCTGAAGGCTTGCTTTCTCATTTTCTCTCTCTCTTGCATCTGTCTCTGGTCAAAATAAAATAAATGAATGAATAAATAAATAAAATTACATTTTTTTTTAAAGTTTCTTCTATTGGGTTGTCGGGAAAGACATGACACGTTTTTGCATAGAAAAGTTTGCCATCACCACCGAGGGGCGCAGAGCCCGGCTCCAGGCCACACTGCAATCCCTTCTCCTCTATTCTCCTTGGGACCTTGGACACGCACGCACACGCGCCCAACTCCAGGCAGGTGGGTGGCGGCACGATGGTGCCAAGCTGTGGACGGAGAACAGCAGACACAGCAGGTCTGTGGTCCCTGCAGGGACTTCTGACAGGCTCTGGCTTCCCGGCTCCCGGCTTCCGGCTTCCCAGCTTCCAGATGGTTCTTGGCAGCAGACTAAGGCCAACTGGAGAGAGATGAGTGAGGCCCAGAGCCCTTGACACGGAGGCTGATGTGTCTCGTCATGGCTGACGCAGACGCTGACCCGAGGGAGAGCAGGTGCACCCTGGAAGCCAAGGTCTGCCCGTCGCCTTGGGGAGGTTTTGCGTTTCTTTTAGATTTCTTTCTTTTTAAAAATTTTTTTTTAATTTTTTAAAGAATTATTTAATGGGATCTATTATTATTTTTTAAAGAGTTGTTTATTTTTTAGATTTTTTTTTATTTAACTTTATTTATTTATTTTTAATTTGACCAAAAAGGGACAGAGCAAGAAAGAGAGAAAGAAAGCTGCCAGGTCTGGGACTTGAACTACAGTCAGCCTCGTGGGAGTCCAGCACCCTTAACCAACACGTCACCTGCCAGTTTGAAGAATTATTTAACTTTATTTATCATTATTATTATTATTATTATTATTATTATTATTATTATTTTCCAGTTAGATCAAAGAGAGAAGGGGAAAGAAAGAAAAGAAACCACCAGGTCCAGGACTCGATCTACCATCAAGTAGGAGTCTGTGTAGGAGTCGAGCACCTTTAACCACCATAGCGCCTGCCAGCCACTAATTTTATTTTTATTATTTTTATTTGTTACAGTGCACCTGCGTTAAGTAGAGGGAGACAGAGACAGAGGTAAAGTGAGAGAGCATGTTGCCATTCCTATCTTGGGGATTTGGGGCACACACACACACACCAGCATGATTTTCAAACTGCTGGGTCCAGAACTCAGACTGAACAGTTGGCCACATGGGACACCCCCGCCCCCAACCTCCATGACACCTACTGGACCATCTTTTTATTTTTTTGGAGAGATTTTTGCTATAGGGCACATGTACTCACTAGAGAAACAGAGCCTGAGACAGAAAGCAAGAACTCACCCCCCAGGGGAGATGGCCACGCTGCAATCCCTTCTCCTCCATTCTCCTCTGGGGCGGGGGATCTTGGGCACGCCCACGCACATGCACCTGGCAAGAGTTTCGAGCCTCCAGGTCCGGGACTCGAACTGCAGTCAACCCTGTGAGTGTCCAATGACGTAACCATTTTGCTATCTGCTGGTTCCCCCTCCTTTTTTTTTTTTTTTCACTTCTGTTTTATTTTTTGTTTAAAAACTTACTGGCGGGAGGGCCAGCAGGTGGCGTGGTGGTTGAGGGGACTGGACTCCCATATGGCCGACCTCTGTTCGAGTCCTGGACCTGAAGGCTTGCCTTCTCATTTTCCCTTTCTCTCACTCTCACTCTGTGCTCCTCTGGTCAAGGTAAATAAAATAATTTTAAAAAAACAACAACAACAACAAAAACAAACTTTCTTGAGGGGCCAGAACCCATGTGGGGCCCAGCGTCCCCACACGCTGCTTGGATTGCTGAAGCCCCGGCCTGGGCGGGCAGGTGTCCTGAAATCAGCCCATCTCGCCCCTGCTGACGTGTCTCCCATGACCTTGGTGCAAACGCCAATGCAGAGACTTTGCGTCCAGCGACCTCAGCGGATCAGCCCAGTCCTGGGCCATGGAGCCCGAGTCTGCTGAGTCTGGGAGGCCTTGAACAGGCCTTTATAGGCCAAGAGGAGACTTAAAAGGAGCTGCAATGGGGCAGGCACATGGCTTGGTAGTTAAGGGACTGGACTCCTACAGGGCCAACTGTGGTTCGAGTCCTGGACCTGCTGGCTTGCTTCCTCACTCTCCCTCTCTCTCTCTGCCTCTCTCTGGTAAGCATGCATACTCTATAGCAAAGTTTAAAATTATAATAATAAGTGAACTTTTTCTTCATAAAGGAGGGGGCCAGCAGGTGGCATCATGGTTAA